CCCCCAGACTCTCCCATGGACCCGCAGGTGGCCCCTCAGGCCCAGGTCTCCACCTGGAAGCGTAGCGTTCGCTGGAGCCTGTCAAGGTAAGCGGCGGCATCAGGGCTGGAGAGCCCACCGTGCTGCTGGAAGAGGGATGTCAGGGCCTCTGTGACATCTGCTGGCATGAACTTGGCGTTGCTAGGTGGGTAGGCCACACACAGTCAGAGCAGCTGGGACCCTGCAGGGCTGGACCCACCGTGGCACCCACCCAAGCCTGGGCTCACCCTGCCAGGTAGAAGCAAGCACCGCGGCGGTCCAGCAGCTCCCAGACAAGCGGCCCCAGCTCCTGGAGCCGGTGCTGCACGTACACCTTCTGGTCCTGCAAGGCAGAGGGGCTGAGTCTCCTGCCCTCCTCCTGCCCTGTCCACAACAAAGCACACCTACCTGCTCCCGAGAGAAGGCTGTGATGAGCGTCAGGCAGCCTCGCTTTTCCAGTTCCTGCCATTCAGCCTCCCAGTAGAAATCCTGGTCCCGCCAGCGGCAGCCAAAAAACAGGAAGTTTCCTGGGAGTGTAGGGTGGACTCCAGCTGGACACAGCCAGCTGGGGTCCCAGGAACAAGCCTCCGGGCCACCCAGCCTGGGATCCCTGCACTCACCAGTCTTGCCCTGGGCCACACGCTCCTGGATGGCAGCTCGGAAGGGGGCCACGCCAGTGCCAGGCCCCACCATGATCACGGGTGTGTCTGGGGACTCTGGGAAGGCCAGGCTGCCTGGCCGCACCCATAGGGGCACCTGGACAGATCCTGCACAGGGGACAGGTGGCACGAAGATGCTCAATGAGCCTGGGCTGGGGCACTGACGTGGGCATGGGGCAGAATGGGTAGGCTGAGCCACAGTCCCCACTGCCTCAGCCTAGAAACAGGAGTCACCTTGTCCAGGATTCAGAGAGGCCAGCCAGGAGGAGCAGAGGCCCCGGCGGGGCTCCCTGAGGCGGGTTTGGTACTGCACCACAGCCATGAGGATCTGTAGCCTGTTGGGATGAGTCTGAGGGAGACAGTGGACGCCATGGCTGCTGGGCCACTCCTGCTCAGAGGTGACCCTGCTTGCAAAGCCTGGGCCCCGGTCCTCACCAGCAGGGAAGAGGCAATGGAGAAGGCTCTTGGTCGGATCCGTGGAATGAGGTCCAGCAGGTAGTCTGCGGGGATGGCACCCGCGGAGTGTGGGAAGTCACACAGCACCTGGGCAGAGGACCCTCAGCCTGAGCGCACGGCCCGACTCAGGATCCACCACCCAATGACTTGCCATCTGCCACCTCTGAGTTGGCCCCAACCTCCAGGATGGTTCTGCGGGGCCGGCTACAATATTCACACAGGGCCTCCTGGCCTGTGGTTGAGCTGAGCTCCAGCAGCTTCTCTCGCTCCAGCTCATGTGGAGACAGGCAGGCCAGGAGCTCAAAGAAAGAGCGGCGGGGCACGCTGGCAATGTCCAGGTACTGGGTCACAAGGTGCCACACGGAACAAGGCTGGGGTAGCCCTGGTGGAGAGGACACACCTACAACAGGAGTGGTGGTGTCATGGCCGGGGCCTCGGTGGGGCAGTGGGTGGGGGCTGGCTTCCTGCTCACCTGGCTCCCGGGGCTGCAGTGTGAACCACTGGTCAGGGTCCAGGCCCAGCACCTGGCAGAACTGCTGGGCATGGGTAGCCGAGTTGGATGGCTGAATCAGTACCACATCGCCAGCCACGAAGCTGTATAGGACGTGTGGGAAGGACACTGGGCTGGGGTGGCAGTCAGGGAGGAGAGGGGCTCCAGGGCAGTGGTAGGATGTGTGGACAAGACTCCCATTCCTGAGCTTCCCTCACCCCAGCTGCGGCAGACCGTTGAGTCCAAGCCTATTGCCTGCCCTTGGGCCCTGGTACCAGGCACCCTGCCCACTGGGCCTCACCTGATGCCAGAGCCAGTGATGTCAAACTCAATCAGCCTCACATCCTGGAAGTGTGAGGGGCCCGTAACCCTCTCATTGGTGACCATGGGTGCCAGGAAGGGCTGTGACTCTGATGGGGGCTGATGAGGGTCCAGGCTGGACACAGTCAACTCCTGGGGGACCGTGTTGGGAACATCCTGGAAGAGCTGAAGGGTGAACGTGGAAGGCAAGCTGCAGGGCAGGGGGACATGGGCATCAGGGTGAGGACTCCCTCCTGGCCAGAGTATGTCTGCAGATCCTCCAGGGCTGACCCAAGACCCTCACTCACGGGACTCCACGGGGGATCTCAGTGAGCTCCGCGGGCACTGGATACAGGCCCAGCACCTTCTCCCACAGGGCCACCAGCCAGGGGTCAATGGCAGCATCGGGCCTGCAAGAGAGCATGCCTGTTGGCCAGAGTGAGCAGCTACTTCGGCAGGAAGGGGCCGGCAGCCCGCACTCACCCCAGCTCATGCTGCTCATCGCCCAGGCATGCGGGCAGGAGGGCGCTGCCCCCGAGCTGCAGCAGCCGGCGGTGCAGCTTCTTGGCCACAAAATTGAACCTGTGGAGATGGACAGGCTGGGTGAGTGAGGTCTTTCCCGCAGCATGGGGTGCACAGGGCCCAGGTCACCAGGAAGCAGCTAGAGGGGACAGTCCTCTCCTGCCAGCCAGTCCTCCCCCTGGGCAGGTGTGGTCACCACTTGGCTGAGCTTTGAGTTAGGGGGTATCAGACATCTTCCTGGGTGCCCTTGAACCTCCAGCTCCTGGGGCCACACAGCCCAGGAACAAGCCCTCCCATGAAGACAAGAAACAGCTGTTCCTCTTCCTGTTTGCTAAGCCTTCCTCTAATGACAGAGGGCCCTGCCAAGCACGCTCAGCCCCTTGAACAGACAAACTTGGCTTGGGCTTCCTAAGACGCCCTCTGTACCCTGAACACAAACCCCTTGTCTACTAGGCAATATTCAGTGACACAGGTGAACCCAGAGGACACTCCTGCCAGGCAAGATGTGGCCGTAGGGGTAGACAGGCACAAAGCATCCACCTCAGCCCTCTTCCCATGACTTCCTTCTTCCCACAAACTCCTCAAGGTGTCTGCCTTGTATCTGACTGGCAACAGCACTGGGCTGGTCTCCGCAGACCTTGGACATAGGCTGTAAGATGTGACACTGGTTGGTGTGAGCCTAGCTCTGCTCCCAGGCTGGCTTCACCTCTCCTGTTAGCACCAGCATGCCTACCAGGGAGCACCTGTGGAGGAGACTGTCCCTGTGAGGCCAGTGTGCTGGGCCCCACACCCACTGCCTCTATACTCACTTGGCGTAGGACGAGTCCCCGAGGCCCAGGACGGCAAAGTCCAGCTGACAGAGGGAGGTGGCCAGCAGGTTCTTCCGGAATATGAACCTCCAGAAATTCTGGGCCAGAGGAAGCCTGTGTTAGGGCTACTGGCTCCAGGCCAGCCCCTCACTGACTATGGTGGGGATGCAGGAGTCTCTTAGGACAGGGGAAGGACAGATGGAGCCACGTGGCCAACGCCCTGGAAGGGCACCTAGCGGGAGCTGTCCCAGGGCCCGCAAGGCAGGGAAGGTGGACACTGAGCAGCAGGCTGTGCCTGGGCACAATGCCCACCTGTCTCTTAAAAGCCTGTTATCAAAACAACAAAACTGGTTTTTAGTCTATTACAAATTCAAGAAACTTGGGAAAATGCATGCATTAGGAAGGAGAAAAAACCCCACTATTCCAAGAGGTTAGGAAGCCAACAGGCCTGGCTGTCTGCATACCTGCTCCTCAGCTCTCTGCTTCCACTGGGCCTGAGGGCCAGCATCTCCCTGTGCTGAGTCAGGGCTCAGCCTGGGCCCCAGGAATGGCTCTGGGCTGGGTGCCCAATGGGACCCTCTGCCCGCTTCTCCCTAGGGGCTCTTGCCTCCATCTGCCCCCATTTCCACTGCCGAGCCGAGCCTTGGGGTGCCTGGGACACATCCCTCACCACCTTAAGCCAGAATCCCAGCTGGAAGCGCCCTGCTGCATGCCTTCCTTGGCATGAGCCCTACACAGGCATCCAGTCTCCTCCCTCTCTGAGCCTGGTATGGGTTGCATGGGTCTGCTCTGCGTCTTCCTTCCTTCCTTCCTTCCTTCTTTTGTATTTAGTACAGGCTCTACAGGGTCTCATTACACAGACTGGACCCATAGTGGTCCTCCTGTTTTCAGCTTCCCAAGCGCTGGGATTAGTGGCACGCGCAACTAGGCCCAGTCTCAACTGCCGCCTCAGAGTGCCCCAGAAGTGGGGCTAACACAGCACACTGGGGATCAAACCCCGGTCCCTGCAACTGCTTAAGCAGGCGCTTTAACCCACTGAGCCATCTTGCCAGCCCTCTCCTCCCTTTCTATAGACAAGGACAAGGGTGGCAGCGGGCCCTCAGACCCCATCCAATGGGCAAAGCCACATTGGCACTGTCAGTGCCCAGCTCTGCCCACTGGCCCTAGGTGGCCCATGCCATCTTGGCACCTTGCCAGCACTTTCTGTGGCTTCATTTCCTGGAGCCCAGAGGCTTAGGGAAAGGCCTCCACACAGGCCTGTGGGCAGTGCTGTGGGAGAGAACTGCCCCCCTCAGGCTTGCCCTGGGCTCTTCCAGTTCAGTGCCTGCTGCTGAGAAGCCAGAGTCATCTGTGTGCTGCTTTGCTGTCTCCTGGCAGCCACCGGGACTTGTTTTTTGTTCCCATGAGCTCCACTGTATGTCTTGGTGGGTGCCCTCTCCACTCTCAGCCTCTAGGCTGTGTGGTCACATCCCAGGCTGGAGTTTTGGCCTGCAATTATGGGACACTTTGCTACTTTTCTTGATAATTTCCTTCCTGCTATCTTTTTCATTTTGAGGCTCCTGGCGTGAGTTTTTTTGAAGTACTGGGGATTGAACAAAGGACCTCCACACTTTAGCTAAACCACCAAACATTTTTTTAAAAATCTGAGACAGAGGGGCCAGGGAGATAGCTCAGTGGAAGAAGCACTTGCCTGGCAAGCGCAAGGGCCTGAGTTCAATCCCCGGTTCCGCAAAAAAAAAAAAAAAAAAAAAAAATCTGAGACAGAGTCTTGCTAAGTCTCTCAGGCTAGGCTCAAACTTGCAACCCTCCTGCCTCAGCCTCTCAGATGCTGGGGTTATAAGTGTGTACAACCATGCCCAGGTGATCTTTGATCTCTACCCTGCTCTTTGTTACACCCTTGGGAGAATCTCCCAGATGCATCCTTTAATGTTTTTGTTTTTGGTACTGAAAATGGAACCTGGGGCCTCACGCTTGCCAGGCAGGCGCTGTGCCACTGAACCACACCCCAGCCCCACCTCTGATTTTCCAAGACCCTCCGCTGTGCTGCCAGAACAGTCCTGCTCTGTGGTGCTGGCCTTGTCCCATTGGTGCCATGTCTGACCTGTTCCTGTTGGGTCTCTTGGCCGGTGCCTCTCACAGGAGCCTCTACTCTGAGTGGTAGCTGCCCATTATCCACCTATACTCAGGAGGCTGACAAAGCTGCAGACACAGGCCTGGTGCCCAGGCAGGCTTTGCTACCAGTGTGGCAGAGACCTGGTTGCTGTGCCTTTCACTGTGATCCCACTGCTTTTCAAAAACAGAGAGCAGGACTTCTTGCCCAGCAGGCAGATGGTCACCGAGGAGTTGCACCCCAGCCTCTGGGTCCAGGCCTGCAGCTGCTCAAAGGAGCCCGTTCTTGGGGCAGTCAGGGAGGGCAGCTAGCTCTACTCCTGTTTTCCTCTGGGAGGTGTCCATTCTTGCCATTCTTCCCAACTGTCCATGTGAGGCTCATCAAACCTCAGTGTGACTGTTGTATCTGGGTGTTGCTGGCTGCACTGACAGCCCCAAAGCCTTCCAACCTGTGAGGGGTCTTATTACCTCTCCTCTCCTCAGCCAGCACCTTTCATCCCATCATTCACCTCCTGCCTCCAACCCTGGTGACCCACTCTCTGACCCTTGCCATCTGAGGAGAGCCCGGGCTGTGCTAAGGCCTTCCCTGGGTGCTACACAGCACCCCCTCTCCTCATTCTCCAATTTTCTGCCTCTTTTCCGCTGTCCTTCCCCCACTAACACCAAACAAGCCGAGTTTCTCCCAACCCATAAACTCCTCTTTTGGACCCCTAGTTCTTTCACAGCCAGAATTTTTAAGAGAGTCTAAGGCCGGCCAAATAGCTCAGCGAATCAGAGTGCCTGTAAGCAGGTGCAGGGGCCGGGGATTCGATCCCTAGGCCAGCTGCCGTCCCCATCCCTGGGGCACACGGAGAGGGCAATTGAGACCATATGCTGTGCACCTGTAATCCCAGCTCTTGGAAGACTGTAAAAAGGTGGATCACTATGAGTCCATCTAGTAATGAGACCCTGAATACCCTGTACACCATTCCCTAAAATACAAATATGTGTGTGTGTGTATATATATATATATATATATATATATATGACATTCTCAGAAGACCTTCCCCACTAATTCTCTGATCCCTAATAACTTGGCTTCCCTCTCCACAAACCTGGAAACTGCTCTCAACCAATCCCAGGGATGATTCCCAGGCCTCATCTTATTTGACTTGTGGTTGTGGCCCTTTGTGAAACACTTACTTCCCCGTCCTTGACCCTGAAGAAGGTCCAGCGCCCTCTCCACTGCCTGGTCACAGCCCTGCCCTCTGTTTTAATGCAGGCAGGTCCTTGGGAGAGGGTTTTTTCTCACACCTCTGGATTGTGGCCCCAACGTCCAGCCCTACTCACATCTCCCTTGACATCTCCAGGCACCTGGTCCTGCCACATCCTCTCTTTTTTTTGTGGCTATCACTCACTCTGGTTCCAGAGTCCAAATTCCTGTTGTGAGTCCACCTTTCTCATCTTTCAGATAACTTCAATTACAAGTCCTGCTGCCTCTGCATCCTTAACCTCTCCACTATGTGTCCACTGTGCCCTTTCTGTCACCACCCTGGTTAAACCACTTGCACCTGTTGCCTGCCATCTCACCCTCTGCAGAGAGGTGGTGCTGTTGCCAGAATGGGCCATTGCTGTTGCCCCAAGTCCCACAGCCCTTCACTTGCAGCCCACCTGCCTTACTGTGCTTGCTCAGGTTGTGTAGCACGCATAGCTTTCTGCCTACCTCCTCTTCTCCTCCTGCCCAACGCACCCCTAACTGCTTTCTCCTCTTCCCACAGGCCAGGCCGTCCTTCTCTGCACAGGCTGCGCTGTCTTCCCCGTGCAGCCCCATTCATCTTTGGGACTCTGCCTATGGGCTTTCCAAAAGCTCGGCACAAGACCCCAGGCTGCCCAACACCCAGCAGGTCCCCAGAAACGGGGATTTCCTGATGCTCTAACTGCGCGTGAACCCTGTTGTTTCCACTGCAAGCTTGTGAGAGCTAGAAATGTGGCTACTAGGTTCACACCTGGCTCCCCGGCACTACACAGTGCGAGAAATAGATGCACGTCCAAGATGATCAAAGAATTAAAGAGCTCCCTGAAGACTACACGGCCTGGAGATCCACACAAGAGCCAGACCAGAGTCCTATTTACGTGTGGAAAAACACAGAGTTAAAATGGAGAACAAGGCTACTTAGTAACTACTGCGAATTTATTACTTAGCGAGGTCAACCAGAGCGCCCCGCTCCACTTCAAGGTAGCCTCTCAGAAGCACCTCTATCGGGTCTCCAAGGGCACCGACTTCAAGTGCGTCTTGGGCTTTCTGGGCCGTGAGAACAGGGTTCGGGCAGAAGGAGCCGCGCCAAACCAGCCTTACCCTCATGTTGTCGGGGGGCTCTCCTTGGCCCGCAGTCGCACAAACAAATATCACCAGCGGCTCCCTAATCAGGTCGGCCTCAACGAAGAGACACAAGTGTAAGACGCGGGCCTTCGCGGCCAGGGACCCCCGCGCGCCCGCCCTCCCGCACGCAGGAGGTTTGCCGCCCTGGACTCAAGCCGCCTCTTCCCCGAGCTGCTCCAGGCAGCGCGACACCTCTGCGCCCACTTTCGGGCGCGGGCTGCCGACCCTCACCACGGCGTAAGAGTCCAGGTCCTGCACGCGGCACGCCAGCCGCCGGCGCCGGGCTTCGCGGCCCAGCCTCTCCGCCACATCTTGGGCTGTGCCTGTCTGGCTGCCGAAGAGCACCAGCAGCCGAAGGCTCGGCATCCCGGCGCCGCGCGCCCGCAGCCTGCGCCCAGCCCGCGTCGCGCGCAGCCCCCGGCCGCC